AAGAAGGCTGAAGGGGTAGTTAGATGTTTCTGGTCAAGCAGCCCCTACATGCTGAGTAAAGTTTCAGGATGAGACAGCATGGTTTGGAAGTCCAGAAGCCAGAAACAGGACCAGGAGGGGAATTAAGCTCTCCAGGCCTCAGTCGCAGCATCTATAGAATGAGTGGGTTGGACTAGATAACATCTGATGTTACTTCTAGTTCTAAATCGAAAGTTCTCATCCTTGGGCGGACTGGAGAAAACCATGGATAACTGGTTAGCGTAGTTGGTTTTGTTTTGTTTTGTTTTGTTTTAATCATGGTTGAAGGAGATTGGTGAAGATAAAGAAGTATTTGTTCCATATAAATTCCCAGACCCTGTACAAAGTGAGCCGGTTAGTCTGAATGACCCCCACATTTTAACCTTGCTCAACCTTGGGTGCTGTGCTCCAAGGGGGTGAGGCTCCCTTAGGACTGATCCCATCTCAGGCAGACTAGCCATCACCTAAACCCTACTCCTGTCACCTGAGGGCTAATCCCATTGCCTTAATACTAATCCCATCTCCCAAGGATGCAGTAATGGAGAGGAGCTGAGGTAACACTAATCCTGTTTCTTCATTGAGAGTTCTACTAATCAAGATTGTTTTACCCTTATATGTAAATTGTTTGTTGTTGTTGTCCTCAATCATTTCAGTCAAGTCCCCGATCCTACTTGGAGTTTTCTTAGCAAAGATGCTGGAGTGGTTTGCCATTTCCATTTTACAGATGAGGAAACTGAGGCAAACAGGGTTAAAGGACATGCCCAAGGTCACACAGCTAGTGTCTGAAGCTGCATTTGAACTCAGGCCTTCCTGACTCCAGGCCTGATGAGTCACCTAGCTGCCTTTGCATCATCTCCTACTCTGGCTTCAACTTTCTCCCTTCATATTTCAGTTGGGACACTGATGGGAAGCCCTTCCAGATTCTCCCCTCAACTTTTCAGCCACTAGTGCTCCCTTCCCCCTCACATTGTCTTCTATTTATTATCTGTGCACTATTTTATCCCCTAAAATAGAAGCTTCTTGAGGGCAAGGACTATTTCAGTTTTGGCTTTGCAACCCTAGCACCCAACCCCAGTGCCTGCTGACCCATATTAAATGCTTCATAAATGTGGAATTATTTGAATTCTAACCTAACTTCAGACTTGCACATCTTAAGAGCTAGGAGCTGGACCTGTAATTTCATCAGCATGGGGAGCCTCCAAGTGAGGAAATATCCACTAGCAATGAATATCAACACTTCCTCTGCAATTTATAGACTTAGAGATTGGCCCAGAGCACTGAGAGGTTAAGTAACTTGCATAGGATCACACAGCTCTATGGGTCAGAAGCAGGACATCTTCCTAGATTCAAGGCTGGCTTTCTAGCAATTGCCTTAAAGAGCTATAGAAATGTGAGTCATTTTAATTATTCAGACACCACCCTCTCTCCTCCTCTCTCTTGCTGAATCCACATATCTTGGGATCAGGACTAGTTAATATCTTAAAATTTGTAGACTCTTAGAGATAGAAGGGATCATGGAAGCCAGATAATTGTACTATACCTGAGTGGGAACCCCTCTTTATTTTTCCTCAAAACCTTCATTTTTAAGACTCAGTGATAGGCAACTCATCAGATCCAAGGGAACTCATTCCACTCTAGGAGAATTCTAATCATTAGGAGTTTTTCCCCCTCCTTGTATCAAGCTTAAATCCACTTCTCTATAACAGTTCTGCATTCTAGAGTTGAATTTGTACTCCCTTAGCACAAAGCAATCCAAAGATTTTGGCAAAGCTAAAATCTCATTCCCATGTCATATCTACCTTATAGAGTTCTGAATGCTGGTTCCGTGTGTTGACTAGCTTTCAGTCCTGAACCCCTCACCTAATGCCTTCTCTATCTAACCTGTGCCCTTTGAGCTCTTTAATCTTTGGCTTACCTGCCTTAGTTCTTAGTCAGTTGTCTGGCCTGACCTCTGCTAATTGCCAGTTCCTTACTGCTGCTTGATGACCCCCATCTTGTTGCCTTTCTATGATCCACAACATGGTACTCCATAAACCAAACCACTAGACCATTCAAAACACTCCTCAGCTCTTTGGGGCAGCCAGAATGGCCAACACAGAGTATCCCTGACCCATAATCCCAGAACCAAATCTCTGGGAAGAAGATACTAGCAACTAGGGAAATTGGGAAATACTCCCTATAGGAGATGGCAACTGTTTTGAAGCATTCCTCTGCTCCTAGCTGCCCTTTGCCTCTTACCTTGTACCCAGTTTTGGTCTGTCCTTTAAGTTAGAGACCAGAATTCTTAGGTATTTCATAGAAGATGCTTTCTTTTCCAATCTGGTCAAATGAGATAATATCTGTAAAGCACTTTACAAATCATAAAACAGAATATTGTCTATTATTTTTGTCATCTTCACCTTCTCTCGTTTTTTCTATCAGTCTACATGGCTTCACTAATACGGCTTATCTAAAACCCAGTGGGGCTTACAATCTTTTTATTTTCAGCACATATGCGTATGGTAAGACTTCTCCCTCTTTTTAAAGAGAACTGCCTATATTCATAAGTGGCCTATATTGGGACCAATATAGCAACAACAATTAGGTTCATTCATTAACCTATATAAACACAGTTATAGTGCAGATGCTGGGAAGAGAACATCCTGACCAAAGTGATATCACACATCAGCATGTGCCTATGAGAGCTCTTCAAAGTCACACAACCCCATGCCCAGCTCTAGGATTCACTGGCAGGGCCAACCTCATCCATAAGCAAAAGAGATAGCTGTGTACTTGTGTGCCACAGCGCAGTATAGAAAGGGCCTTGGACTGGTAGCTAGGACCCCTGGGGTCCAGCCTCATCTATGCCACCAGTTAGCTCTGTCATCTTAAGCAAGTCACAGAATCCCAGAATCATGGAATTTTAGGGTTTGAAGGGACCCCAGAAGCCAGCTAGTCCAACCAATGCCAGCAAAATAAAACAAAAGAAAAACCTACAACATAACCAGCAAGTGCTCATCTAGCCTCTGCTTGAAGACTTCCAAGGACAGCGAGCTTCTCACCTCCTGAGACAACCCGTTTCACTCCTAGACAATTTAACTCTTAGTAGTTTTGTCCTGACATCAAGCCTAAATTTTCCCTTTGTTCCTTCCATTCGTTGCTCATCATTCTGCCCCTTGGGACTGAAGAGAGCAAATCTAATCCTGGTTTCACGTGACAACCCTTCAAGTATCTAAAGTCATTTAACCTTTCCGGGCTTCAGCTTCCTCACTGGTAAATTGAATAGCATTGGGTTCTAATCTGAGCTTTCAAGGTCTTTCCAATTCTAAAATTCTATGATTTTATGGTTTGAAAGGCCTGCTCCTTAAATGTCTCCCTCCTATTGTAAAAGTCTGGGCCTGACTCAGGTCAGTCACTTGGTAATTTGGTGAGGAATCAGAACAAAACAAGACATTCATAATCCATCTAACATGTAATGAAAGGTTTACTTAGCCAGAGCAAGGTGGGGACATTCAGAGCGGGAAAGGGATCTTCATCCAGAATAAAATATCGATTGAGTTGAGGACTGCTTTCTGTTCTTGTTCACATTGCTGTTTTCCAGGAAGAAGCTCTGGATGTCCTGGCAGTTTTGCACCCAAGTGACCAGGAAGCTTTGTCAATGACCTGAGCCTTAGTCCCTTTAACCAATCAAATTTCAAGGACAGTTTTAACACCTTTTAAGGAAAAACTAACCTAACTTTCATGGATGGGAGGGCATTAGGGCATAGTTCACACCATATTCATCATTCCCACAATTAGAGATTCATTTCTTTGGATGAACGTATTGTGGTCTTCAGGGGTCTTCTTTTAAATTATAAACACTACTGGAGGGGAGCCGCTGTTACAGGGGTTACAAATACCTTTATATTGAATTAGTTTAAGTGACCTTTAGGCTTAAGCTCTAGCTGAAGGTTTCAAACTCTCATAACTAAAGAAATTAAGTAAGAAAGTAAGATTGCATAATAGAAAGAGTAGAGGGAGCTTGGTGGCAGCTAAGCCTGGGCTTTATATCAGGTTTGTGGCTATCCCCCATTTTCTCTCCTTTGGGATCTATTAGTTCTACCCTTGAGCCAATTCAAACTTCTAATTCAGCCCCCAGCATTTGCCTCTGAACAAACCAGAGTTCTGCATGCAGTGTTTACAAATCCAATGTAATCTAGTCCAGTCCAAAGCATTTATTAAGCACCTATTATAGAATTCACCAGACACTGTGTTAAGTACTGGGAATACAAAGACAAAAGAAAGAAAGCCGTCATTGCCCTCAAGGAGCTTATATTCTACTAGAGAGTAGAATTGCTATCACTTAATTCATAAAGGTTTAGGGACTTGATATTTGCTTGTGAGTTTGAGGCTAGGAAGAAGAACCTAGGAGAAGATCAACAATATAGCCATCTCTGCAAGCCCCATTCATGCCTGGATATGAAAGTTCATTAGGGATAGTTAG